CACCTTGATTTAGAGTCGTACAAAAAACTTCCTTCAGTTTGACTGAAGTGAAAACGGGCCTGCTGCAGGTCGCGAAGTTGGTGAAAAGACTGTGAAGATGCAATAACTTGGTCCATGGTGAACACACACACTTAGAGTAATCAAGCAGAACCACAAATGAATCTAAATTAAAACTGAAACAAACTCACAGTTTCCAAAGTAGCTTTAAGTTGAATATAAATCATTAAAAAAAGATTGCCCACAAAAAGTCCTATTAGAATAGAGTCCATTCGACAGGACAAATGTTCAAAGTAGTTTTACATTATTGCAACACAAAACAAATCTTACTCGGTGATAGTACATTAAAATAAATTCAGTGATTTATTTACAAATTGAATAAATTAGACTCTAGTATTCACACGATTATCTATATAAACAAATGTAGTGACTGAAAACCTGAGTTTCTGATGAAGTGTGCAGGAAAGATGAAGTATGATAAAGTGTTTGTGTTGCAGAGAGCTAGGACTGTGTGTTGTTTTAGGTGGATTCGCTGGAACACCTCATCCACACAGACACTCCGATTAGAGAGCGAGGCCGGACACAGTAGAACAGTTAACGTGGCTTTAATGATGAAGCACGACTCCAAATTACACACAGCTCGGTGTTTCTGGTTTACTGCTTACACTTTGACTCGATACAGTTTGACTCTATTGTCTGCACTGTTTGAGGCTTTACATTGGTCTGATTGACTCTCTTCTGTACTGGTATCTGCAATGGACAAACACAATATACATGAGAAGGTGCGCTAGCTTAATGAGCACATGTTAACTTCAACTTGACTTCAACTTAGTCAACAGTTGCCAGTCAGTTCGCACATTAAACATAAAATAAACACTGCTACACAAAATCCGCCGCTTCATTTGCATATCAAAGAACTAATTAGCGATCGTTAACGGATCATTATAACCCACCTTCATCACAAACGCAGACAGACATCAATGTGAAATGAACTAGAATGCCGTGAACAGCTCAATATTATGTGTTATTATTATGTTCATGTTATGTTAACGAGGTGCCTGATGTAAAAACACTAAATGCAGCACTGAACAGTTCCTGCACAAAAACACAGTAATAATAGAGAATTTACAACAGTTTGTATCTCATGAATAATGTATTGCAAAGAAATACAAAGTCAGTTATTTATTCAAATCTACAGTTTTATTTTCAGAACAAATCATTTCCATAGAGAGAGGAGGCTTTGCATCGTCAGCTGATCCTCCAGTGAACTGAGAAGGTTTATAGTCCTGTGAGTTCAAACACTGCAGGACTCAGATCTGTCAGTCAACACAGCAGAAACCACAACCACCATGATTCTCATCACATCCTCATCTGGACGCTGGCCTGCTGCTGTTTTTACAGGTTCATTCACTCAGCAACATTTCAAACATGATGTGCTGCCTTTTCTCTCATTCTTTCTGCTGATAAATGAATGATTTGTTTTTTCTGCAGGATGCAGCGGTCAGGTGACTGTGACTCAACCTCCAGTAAAGACATCTACTCCAGGATCCACTGTCACTATCAGCTGTAAAACAAAACCAAGCTGTTGGAAAATGTAGCGGTATTGATGTGTATGCACTGGTATCAACAGAAATTTGGACAGCCTCCAAAAGCTCCTAATAAAACTTGTCAGCACACGTGAATCAGGAACACCAGGCTCGATTTAGTGGCAGTGGAAGCAGCTCTGACTTCACTTTGACCATCAGTGGAATTCAGGCTGAAGATGCAGCAGTTTATTACTGTAAGAGTATCATAATGGCCCATGTGTTCACACAGTGATCTTAGAGCCGTACAAAACTCCCTCATTACGAGTGAAAGTGAAAACAGCCTCCTGCAGGTGCAGAGAGTTGGTAAAGAGAATAACTGGTCCAGTGAAACACAAGAGTCATCAAGCAGAAACCCATGAATCTAAATATAACTGAAACAACTTCACTAATGGTTTTTCCATTATACAGTTAAAACTTCAATCCTTGTCACTTATTTTCAGTGTATTTTATGAGCTAGCTGGGAAACTTTAATTCCTTGTTGGACCATAGTCACCTGACAACATTTTCTTGTACTGAAAACAATCTTAAATGAAAAGCTTCTAAAGGATTATTCTTCATATAAAATATTATGATGATGACTGAATAATTTCATTCTCAAAATTAGTAAGTTTCTATCAAATTGTCACAAAGTTATACAAACATAATATTAGGTATGAAAAGGAGATGATCAAAAAAGAGTTTTTCAAAATGAATATTTCAGAAATAAAACGACATTGACTCATAATCCACAGATTTATTTTAATGATGTTTTAATGTTCATGCCACATTTGGGATAAATGAGAAATTTCTCTTGGAGTGAAACTAATATATTTAATTTGAAAAGTGAAGACTATAAAGAAGCATATGCAGAAAGATCAGTATTAGAAAGAACATGCAAACTAAACCACTGAGTAGAAAGCTGTGAAACCTGCAG